AGATGTGCTAAGATGTCTGCTTTATTAAATTGGAACTTTAAGGATCGTTTTGCCTTTGATTCTGATTTAATTCTACGTGATACTTGGAATGCTGACATTGACCTTATCTAGTGCCAAAATAGTACTGTCAGTTAAGTAAATTCTTGTGTATACACATGAGCAATTAATCCATTTAATTAGCCCTGGTCTTTCCCATTTGACATTACCCTTCACCTTGAGACTGAAAACCCATAAAAACAAGAAAATCTGTGATTAAATTTGACACAAGCAATATGGGCATTTCATAACCAAAGATGACACAAGCAATATGGACATTTCATCAGGGTAGATTAAAAAAAACCAAGACTATCTAGAAAGTTTTTTCCCCCGAGACAGGTTATTTATTTTGATGTGCCAAGATTAAGACAAAGTGACACTCTGAGTTACTTACATTTTTAGCCAAACCTTCTCAACTTTGACAGCTTGAAGGTGTGTGGACTTCAACTCCCAGAATGCATACTGGCTGGGGAATTCTGAGAGTTGAAGTTCAGACTTGTCTTAACAAGTTATTGAGATTGACAAACACCGCTTTAGGGTTAAGAGCATCTCAGTCCGTGAAATGTGTGCCAAAGGTGGCATGTGGAGCCATATCTGCCAGGACGCCAAGCCATCAGCTCCAGCACGCATGTGCACGCCGGCCAGCTAATTTTTGGCCTTCTGGAGGAGGCCCTTTTCACCCTCCGCAGGCTCCAGGAAAGCCTCCAGAGCCTGGGGAGGGCGAAAACCAGATCCAACGTGCCTACCAGAAGTTCGGAAACGATTCAATCCGTTTCCATCTTCCAGGGAGCCGGGTGGTGGTGCTGGTGTTTCGCCTTCCCCAGGTTCTGGAGGCTTTCCTGGAGCCTGCGGAGGGTGAAAATGGCCTCCCCCGGCCCCCCAGAGGAAATACCAAGCTCAGCTTTGCGGCGAGCAGTGTGGTGCGCGTGGGGTGTGTGCGCGCGTATGCGCATGTGGGGGGAACACTTTGCATTATGGGTGCTGGCACATGCACGCGGGCCCCCATTTTTGTGCACCCAACAAAAAAAGGTTAGCCATCACCGAGCCAGGATTGATCTAAGTGAAGCTGGGGTTAGGGTCACTTTTGAGTACACTCTATTTAAAGAAAAATACTTTTTAAATAATTCAGTGTTTTTGGTATTATTATTATTATTATTTATAAAGTTTCAAGCGTTCTCTGGGTGCAAGGATTCTTTGTCGGATAATTATTCTCCTATTCTTTACATCAGGGTTCTCCAACCTTGGCACTTTTGTGGACTTCAATTCCCAGAATTCCTCAGCCACCAAGCATCCTGGAAGTTGAAGTCCACACCATCTTCAAGTTTCCAAAGTAGCATGGCTGGCTGAGGAATTCTGCCAAGGTTGGAGATCAGGGGTGGGCTTCAGAAATTTTAGCAAGGGATTCTCTGCCCGGTTGCTGGTAGGTGTGGCCACAGCGGGTGTGGCCTAGTTGGCCTCCTGCACCACCAGGGGGGAGTGGAAGGGCATTTTTGCCCTTCCTGGGCTCCGGAGGCTGGAAACAGACCCATTTTCGAACATCTGGTAGGCCTGTTTTTTGCCTCCCATGAGCCTCCGCGCACACCCTGCGCCTACCTGCATTGAAAACTGCTTGCGTGTGGACTCCTGGGAGGGGCGATGTGGGTGGGGCCAGCCAGGAGTGGGATTTGGGGATTCTCTGAATTGCACAGAATCTTAGCTTGACCTGGGTACTTGAGAGACCGCCTGCTGCCAATTACCTCCCAAAGACCCGTTAGATCACACAGGGTCGGCCTCCTCCAGGTTCCGTCCACCAGCCAATGCCACCTGGCTCCCACCCAGAGGAGGGCCTTCTCTGTAGCAGCCCTTTGGAATGAACTCCCCGCGGAGATTCGGACTCTCACCTCTCTCCAGGCCTTCCAGAAAGCCATCAAAACCTGGCTGTGCCGGCAGGCCTG